CTGGTACTTGATTTTTTTTTCTTGTTTTAATTTCTGTTTGAGTGTGATCTGCTAATTTATGCCCTTGACTTTGCTTAGCACCTCAGTGGCTCTCATGTCCAAAAAGGTTACTATTACCTGTTGTTGTTGTTGTTGTTGTTGTTATTGTTACGTGCCGTTGAATCCCCTGTGACTTATAATAGCGACCCTATGTACAACAGTTCCAAACCTGGCTCTATCCCGTGCTAATCTCACTGTCTCTGACACATCCACCCTATTACCCCAGTCACTGAATCAATCCATCTCATAGAGGGTCTTCCTCTCCTGTGCTGTCCCTCCACCCTACCAAGCATGATGTCATTCTCCAAGGACCTGTTCCTCCTTACGACATGTCCAAACTATGTCAGACGAGGCCTCTCCAAGGGCATCATTTCTTCCTCTATCCCCACTAGTAACTGTCCAGTGATTTTAAAGACCATGGCCTGTATCGGGCACATACCAGGGGTTCTATGGAAGAAAAAGCCAGACAATCTTCTCCCTTAAAGATTTGTATCTTCAGAAACTCACTGTTGTTGTTGTTGTTGTCGTCGTCATTTTTATATACCTTCAAGTCAACAACAACTCATAGCGATCCTATGAACAATGACTCTGAACCTTGTTGTATCCTGAGTCAGACTCACCATCTCTGACACATCTGACATCATTGCCATAGTCACTATGTCAAGCCATCTCATCCAGGGTCTTCCTCTCCTATGCTGGCTCTTCAGCCTTTGACACATGATGTCTTTCCCTTCTTGTCAACATGCCCAAAATATGTAAAATGGAGTTTCAAACTCTTTGTCTCTAAGGAGTCACCTGGTTTCACCCTATCCAGGACAGACCTGTTTGCCGTGGAGGTGGCTATTAGTTGGAATCAACTCGATGACAGTAGGTACCCATGGAAGAGGTCATACTGCCAGTGTTTTATGTTGGTAAATATTTACCACCTGACTCCCCAGAACACATGGCAAATTTCCCTGCTATAAATCCTCCCATCATGACTGGTTTTAAGGTATAAAAGTAACATCAATAATTAGAAAATTGGGAAGATATTCATAGAAGGGCACTATTACTTATTCTACCATCCAGAAAAATAAATGTAAATAACCTCTTGTTATCTACCATCAAATCAGCTTCTAACTGATAGCAACATTTTTACATTAAAGAGTAGAACTGCTCTGTAGGGTTTTATTGGCCATAATCTGTATGGAAGCAGTTTATTAAATCTCTCATGGAGATGCTAAATTTGTTCAGATTGCCTACCTTCTAGGTTAGTAACCAATTGTAACCTCTTATATGAAAGCTCACTAAATAAATTCTAGACTTGTGGTAGCCTAGTAGGTAAGGAGTTATGCTGCCAGCCAAATGATAAGTTGTTCAAATCCACCAGCAGCTACTCAAGAGAAAGATGGGTAGTGTTTTCCTTTTATAGTCATTTTTAGCTTCTGAAAATCCACCAGAAGACCAGCAACGAGTTAGTTCTGACTCAGTGGTAACAAAATTGAGTTTGTTGAGAGCAAAAGTAACAATTAAAAGCTGCAAAAGTATTAGGGAGCTCTGATGGCCTAGTCTGTGGGGAGTTAGTTAAACTCCTAACCCAAAGTCTCACTTCTCTGGCAGTTACAATCTACCAGCAGCTCCTTAGAAGAAAGATGAGAAATCTCTCCCTGTGTGATTTATAGCCCCAGAAACCCAATGGGGGGGTCAGCTATGAAACAGAAATAATTTTAGTTACTTATTAGAATTTTTTAATTTACCTATAAATTTACATAATTTAATTTGTCACAATGATTCTTTTTTGCTTATAAAATTTTTGACAATCTGAGAGTTGACACGTGGGGTCAGCTCCAGAATCCTAGTGTTATCAGAAGTGTGCCTATAGATTGCTAACTCCAGTCTCCTAATTCCAAAATTCCAACATTCTCCCTCTTCTATCTGTAGATAGAAAATGTTTGCAGCTTATTATTATCCATCCTGAATGCATTCCATTCCAAAGACAAGACTGTAGTAACCCGGGCCTTGATCACCCTCCGAAGACTTTTAGGAAAACTGGATAAAGTGACCTATGCATCTGTGTGTACCAAGATTGCTTCCAGCTACTGTCCCTTGATGGATCATGTGAGTTGCTCAGCTTACTTTGTGAGAGTATTGGTTTTTGTAGATCAGGTGAAGCCCTGGTGGAGGCAATAGTATATTCTAGAATATAGTCACAGAAAATGGTTTCGTTTTTATTTTTTTAATTACTGAGCCACCATTTCTTTTTTCAGAGCTTCCTAGTATTAGTCATATAGGTACTGTCATTTTCTCTACACTGTGAAACCCTAGAAGAATCTCCCCATAAGAAGGGAATAATATTGCATAAAGCCACTGTTATAAAAACTAGAGGGAGGTTTACATACAGAGAGAATCAATCTGGGATAGGTGCCAGGGTAGAGGAAGTGAGGGAAGTAGAAAAATAATGGATAGATAATGAGAATTGGAATTGGAATGAAACTGTAATAAGAAATCTAGTCTATTGGAATGGGTAAGAGGAAGAATAATGTTTTGGAATAATTAGATGATCAGATATTTTATGTACTGTAACTAATAAAACAGAACAAAATATTCTTGGATGATTGATTTACAATATTAGTTGTAAACTTTTTCACAGTTCACAATGTTGTTATTGTTATGTGCTGTTGAATCACCTGCTACTCATAACAACCCTATGTACAATAGCTCTGACCTGCCCTGTTCTGAGCCAGTCTCACTGACTTTAACACACCTCCCTCATTGGCATTCACTTCTGAATGACTTGCCTCTGGAAACTCTGTGAACAGTGCTCAGGTCTTCCATTCATAGGGTTGCACTAAGAGTCATCTATGACTTGACGGCACCTAACAACAATAACAACGACAACATAGAGTGACGTGGACCTAGTGGACAGAAAGTTATGCTACCAAGCCTAAGGTGGGTGGTTTTAACCTGTGGCCCTCAGGCCTGGTTCAAATTGGTTGTTGGTTTTGGTTTTTTTGGTTTGGGGTTATGTGTGTGTGTGTGTGTGTGTGTGTGTGTGTGTGTGTGTGTGTGTGAAACATTCTTCTAGGTGGTGTAGCACTGATCTGTGCATTGCTGTACAGAGGTAACTCGTGGTTGCTGTGATGCTAAACACTATGACACTGATGTGTCAAGTGTGATAATGGTTACCTATGGCAGACAGTGTTTGGTGGAGCTTCCCGATTAATACAAGCTTGGAAGAACGAAGGAGTGGCATCCACTTCCAAAATGGCTTGCCTTCGGAAACTCTGTGAACAGTGCTCAGGTTTTCCATTCATAGGGTCGCTATGAGTCATCTATAACTCGATGGCACCTAACAACAAAAACAAACCTCATTGCCACAATTTCTGTATCAATCCATCTCATCCAGGGTCTTTTCTTTTTTCTCTCCTGTGCTGCTCCTCCACCCTTCTGAGTAGGATGTCTTTCTCCAAGGATCAGTTCCTCCTGGCCACATGCTCAAAATATGTGAGATGAAGCTTCAAAATCCTAGCCTCCAATTATAAACTTGGTTTCACTCTCTCCAAGAAAGACCTATTCCTTTTCTTGGTGGTCTATAGTATGTTCAAGATTCTTCTCCAGCACCATCAATTCTTCTGTCATCTTTAGTCATTGTCCAGCTCTCTGATGCAAAGCAAGTAATTGTGAAGACCATGGCCTGGATCAGGTGCATCTTTATCTCTAAACTGACATTGTACTTCTCAGTACTCTGGAGAGGTCCCTGACAGCTGATTTTCCCAGTGCAGCTCATCTTTTGGTTTCCTGACTCCTGGTGCTAAGAATATTGATTGGGGAGCCAAGTAAGCTGTAACTATTAACAACCTCAATTACTTCTCCATGGAACTGCCAATTGGCCTAGTAGAGAGAATCTTTGTCTTCAATCCATATTGAAGTCCTTTACTTTCTGCAGCAATCACTTCAGGTCCTCCTCATTTTCAGGAAGCAAGATTCTATCGTCTGCATAATGCAAGTTGTTGATGAATCTTACTGCAATCTTGATGCCACATTCCTCCTCATAAATCCCTGCTTCCCAAATGATCTGTTCTGCATATAGTTTGAAAAGGTATAGAGACAGGATGCATCCCTAACACACTCTTTTCCTGATTTGAACCATGCAGTGTTTCCTTGCTCTGTTCTGATAGCTGATTCCTGGAACAATCAAGTGTTCTGGGATTCTGATTCTCCTCAAAGTTAGCCACAATTTGTTGTGATCCAAAAGTCAAATGTCTTTGCATAGTCAATGAAACACAGATAGATATTCCTCTGGTACTCTTTGCTTTCTGCTAAGATTCATCTGATATTGGCAATTTCTCTAGTGCCACACCTTTTTTAAACCCAGCTTGTATTTCTGGTAGTTTTCTGTCACTGTACTGTTCCAGTCATTTTTGGATAATCATCAGCAGGATTTTGCTTGTATGTGATATTAGTGACATTGTTCGATAATATCCCCGCTATGTCAAGTCAGCTTCTTTTGAAATGGGAATAATTATGGAACAATTATGGTCAGGTAGTTATCCTCCAAATTCCTTGGCACAACCAGGTGAGCATGTCTAGTGCAACATCTGTTTGTTGCAATATGCCAATTGGTACTCCTTCAATTTCTGGGTGCTTATTTTTTGCCAAGTTCTTCAGAGCAGCCTGAACGTCCTCCTTCATCACCGTTGTCTCTTGAAATTCTTCTGTCAGCCACTTCTTTTTGGTACAGTGACTTTGTATATTCCTTCCATCTTCTTTTAATGCTTCCTGGATCATTCAATATTCTATACATCACGTACTTAAGCATTGCAACTCGTGGTTTGAATTTGTTCTTTAGTTCCCTCAGTTTAGAAAATTGCAAGTGAATTTGGTTCTTTTGATTTCAGACTCTAGCTCCTTGCACATTTCATTATAATATCAAAGTATTTGTCTTCCTGTGTTACCCTTTGAAATCTTCTATTCAGCTCCTTAAATTCTTGATTTCTTCCCTTTGCTTTGGCTTCTCTGTGCCCTCGTGCAATATTCAGAGTCTATTCTGACATCCATTTTGGCTGCTGCTGCTGCTTCCTTACTAATGTCCTTTTGTATTCTTCATGGATGATATTCTTGATATCCTCCCACAGCCCATCTGATCTTCGTTCATTAGCGTTCACGGTTTTTAAATTGGGGGAGGGATAGACTCAAGATCAAATTTCAATTCCTGTGGATTTAATTTGACCTTCTTTAGGTTTAATTTGCATTTGCATATGAGTGGTTGATGGTCTGTTCCACAATCAGTACCTGGCTTAATTTTCACTGCTGATATTGACTATCACAAAAAAAAATGTATTAGAGAGAGAGAGAAAGAAGAAGAAGAAGAAGAAGAAGAAGAAGAAGAAGAAGAAGAAGAAGAAGGAGAAGGAGAAGGAGAAGGAGAAGGAGAAGGAGAAGGAGAAGGAGAAGGAGAAGGAGAAGGAGAAGGAGAAGGAGAA